CACACACACACACACACACACACACACACACACACACACACACACACACACATTCTGAAATGAAGCAGCGCAATGTGACTGAAACAAAGAAGCTTGAAATGAAAGAGATTTCCAAACTCTATATTCACTTTTTATTCCATCTTCTGCTTGAATTCAGGAGGGAAAACCAAACCGAGCTCCCCTCAGATCCCAGAGCTCCTCCCCTGACCTCTACCAGGCATCACCACATTAAACCTCACAAAATTACCAAACAAATGAAAATCATTTCAAATATCCAAATACAAGTTGGGTCATGTAAAATCCCACCTGTCACAACTTGTTTAAGCTTTGATTGGTATTTCTGCTGTGAAGTCTGTCTGAGCTCTTTGTTTTGTTTTGACCCAGTGACACAGAGAAATCTATTGTTTTGTGATTTTTGTCTACGCTGTATTGCTTTGAAGTGTTTTTTCTAAAGCTACAGGAGTAGCTGTGACAGAGACGAAAGAATAACTAGCAAATATTGACGTCCAATAGTTGTAAAACCTTACCAGTTAAAGGTCTTCACTACTTCAGATCCTGACTGATCATTTGGGCTTAATTTAATAAATCCAGATGTGTAACAGAAAATCTCTTATCTTAAACAATTCTAAGTTTTATATTATTTTTTATAACATACCTGACTGCCTGGTAGTCCTTAGAGAGTCCTGCAGCTGAAGGAAGCATTTTCAACATGTCGACCTGAGACATAACAAATGTTACATGTACTTCCTGTAGCAATGATAGTGTCATTTTTAAGCAGTCATGAATTTAAATCTCTTGAGCCCCACACCCCTGGTACTGGGGGCAAAACTGCATTTATTCTCTTTTATTGGTTTTTAAGATCTGTCAGTTGAACACAGGCATGTTTGGTGTCAACAGAAACATCATAATCTTGGCTAGAAGCTCATAAAATCCACGTCTACGTCCACCAAACAGCTCAATCAGCAAGTAAACTTTAGACAAAATGAGGTCAACTCAAATCTGTAAATTCATTAGAGCAAATCTTTAAAAGTGTTTTGATTTTTTTTTTACCTATTTTTTGTTTAGAAACAAGTCAAAGCAAATACTAAACTATGTTGTACCTTTTTTCTACTTGATTTTGAGTAAATATGGTGTCAAACATAATTAAAAACAAGACTTTTCAGGCAGCTAAGATTACATTTTGAAAGATTTCTTAACATTTATGGATTGTACCAAGACGGTCCATCCCGTGAAGAATGACAAAACGTTTTCTTTACTAAACCCTCTGAAACTTTGCTCTAAATTATTTTAGCAGCATGAATCTTTGCACGGGTAACGTCCACATGTGACATGTCACAAGGATTTTTAGCCATATTCATATGTTTTTAAAAAGGGTTAACTTTAAAACAACTTCAGGCAAGTGGGAAAAAAATCACAATTCTTTCCTGTTCCATCCTCACTATTTCTGAAAAATGAAGGTCAATAACTGAATAAAATAACAGTTGCTGTAATATTTACACTTCTGATAAAATCTCCCAAGTGTTAGCTCTATTTTGATACCAGGATTATTTAAAGGCACAGTGTGTAGGATTTTGTTAATTCTTTTAGCCGAAATTGAGATAATCACTAATGACAATAATAAAAATATGTCTAATCATTGCAGACAAAGACCTTGTTTTATTATTTTTACCTTATAAAAAACTGTTTATATCTCCATGGTCGCGGGTCGCCACTACAAGCAGCCTCCATCTTGCACCGCCATCTTGTCTACGAAGGCTCATGAAGGACAAACTGCGGTGGCGGCGTCAAAAATGGTTTTAGTTGTAATACTATCAGTATTACAGTTGTCTGTCATTGTAGCTGGGATAATTTTACTTATTAAAGCTCATAATCTTACCACTTGAAACATCACTAGCCCTGAAGCTGCTGGTAGACATCGCGGTTGGAATTATCAAAGGTTTTTGACACCTGAGAGACACCGTAGCAACCCCTTTGTGTTTGGAAGCGGGGGGTGGGGGTGGGGGGAGGACCAGGGAGGATGATTCAACCACTAGATGTCGCTGAAAACAACAAATCCTACACACTGTGCCTTTAAGTATAGTTTTAAATGCTGAGATACACTCAATTACATTTTGGCATGTTATTTCAAGCACAAACTTCAAGAAAAACCTTTGGGGCTGAAGAGATTAAATAAAAATACACCTGAAATAAAATAGATAAAAAAATAGAATTTTATACAATATAACACCTGTCAAACTAAAGACTCACATGTAGTCCATGTGACAGTTTATCTGGCCAATAAGATAGTTTTTATATAGAAATCTGCCAGAAGGAAGTGGAAAGTGATCCTCAGCCTAAACCTGTTTGTCTTGTTTACAAAGGATACTACAGAAGAGACAAAAGCAGCACAAATAAAAACCACCAAAATGGGTAAAGCTCTATCCCACAACTGCAATATTGTAGCCACAGCATGTTCAGAAATTTTTTTCTTTACTTTTTGAACAGTTTGTCATGTTGATGCTACAATCTTTTAAAATAAGTTTTTAACAGAATTGTATACAAATTTATAAATATAGATATATAAAACCCAGGTACACATTTCCACATGTATCGAGTTGAAGCAAGATTGGCAACAGTTTCAGCCTCGAGTCTTTTTGGTTTGATGCAATAAGTTTTGCCTCGATTGGTTAATTTTCTGTTCTTATCAAACGTGAGGCGCTGAGCATCAGCTGAGTGTTTCAGCTGCAGTAGAGGTTTGTGATCTAACTGGACACCACATGGATGCAGCAGCGCTGAAGCTGTTGTCGTTTTAATTGACCACGTTTCACTGTCTGCACCTTGTCCACTTTAGGAATCATCACTTGTGTTAATATGCTAATCTGACACTGTTCTCTTCACAGTGAGAAAGAAATTCCCCCTTCGGCAATTCATGTGCATTTTATGGATCTCACTTATTATGTCTACATCTACAGTCAAATAAGAAAAAAGTAGTGTGCACAACTCCAATACAAAAAAGGAGAATGTATTAGAGCACAACGCCAGAAAAACAGAGGAAAAAAGACTGAAATCTCTTCAAAAGGCTTTGTAAGTTTGTGATTTTAGAATAAAATAAGCTCATAATCACTTAGCTGATCTAGCAGCTGTTTGTCCTTTTCCGTGTCACATCTTGTCAAATATTCAAAACCAAAAGCCACTTTAGCCATTTCTGTCTAATGCTTTAAAAGTCTAGTAAATCCTTTATTAATCCTTTGTTTGACCTTAACCTGAAGCCAAATCATAAACTTGAAAGAGCGTTTGAGTTTGTGGAGAGGCCCTAAGCCCAGCAGCTGCTCGGCTCGGCTCCACGCTCTCGGCAGATTAACGAGTGAGCGAGCGGGTTTCTGATCCCTCTTGTTACTGTAATCTGCTGCCTGACCCGTACCTGATCCTGCAGTGCTCTGACTCGTGTCTGAGCTCTTTCCTCGCGCTCATTCACGGCTTTCAGCTGCAGTTTGAGCTCAGAGAGGCTGGAGGTCTTCTGGGAGAGCTCATTCTCTAATTCCTTCATCTTGTTCTCAAACATTCTGCACCAAGAAAGCAAACAAAAGCTCACACCCGGTCTGAAGGCCATGTTTCCTATAGCAGCAGGTTTTTTAACACCTTGGTGGATCTGCTGACCTGGTTACAACCGATGCCTTCCCGGTTTTGCCGTCTGCGCCTTCTGTGATTGGCTTTGACAGAGCTACTCGCAGTTTCTGCCTGGTTTCTTCCAGCTCTGCCTCGAGCTTCTCATTTGTAAATTCCAGACTTGTCTTGGTCACTCTCAGCTTCTCTGATGCCACCATTTCCTGTTTGAATGCAACAAGGACACTCAGGTGAGACACATGAGAAAAAAAACGACTTAAAACAAGGTTTCATTTATGAACAGAAAACTTCAGAACATTAAAAAGTAAGTGCTGTACCCGTTTCAGCTCCTTGCGCAGACGTTCGTTTTCAAGCACTATCTTCTCCAGCCCTTTAGTTTTAGACTCAAGTTTCAAACACAGCTCTGCTTCGCTTTGACTTTTCATTAACTCCAAGTCAGCCTGGGGAGAACAAAAATGTTAAAAAAGTGATGTTTTCTGTAGAAACACAACAGAAATGAATGTGAAGCAGGTGATGGGACAATGCTGACAACCTTTAACTTTTCATTTTCTTTTTCCAAAGCAGAGACTCGGTCTTGATTCGCAGCCGCCTTGGATTTCTTTAGTTTCTCATTTTCCCTCTGCACCCTCTCAACCACTTTCTTCATCAGCCCAATCGTCTTCTCAAGTTCAGCTACTGTTTTACCACTGTGACCAGCCTGAGGAGGAACACATTAAAACCACCGAATGAACAAAATGATTGAGTCTTAATTATAAATTTCATTTTATTGTTAAATGTTATGAATCAAAGATTTTAGCATCTCAAACAGTTTCTTGTGCACTAAAAACCTACGATTTGTTTTCAGTGATTTCTGAGAAAATGCTTAAAGGAGACCAATTATGGGTCCTAGAAATGTTTATGGTATGTCTGTGGGCTATCCAGACCATGTTCATTCAATTTAATGCATAAAATAATTCTCAGATAATAAAATTTCCCATTTTCTAGTTCTGCCTGCTCTGACTTCCGTTCAGAAGAGCTGTTTATGTTAATGAGCTCTGTTGGTAACGCCCTCCAAAAATCTGTTGACATTAACTCCGCACTCCAAAGCCAGCGTTTACATTAGCATGGCTATTAATAGCAGAAGCTTTGTTGTACAACCATATGAGACCCAGAGGCAGAGTCGTGGTCGCAGCTTTTTTCTCTCCCTCCTCTGCTCTGCTCTCACTCTGCATGCTGTTACCAGAGCAGGGAGCAGCAGCGGTCAAAATACCTCAGAAACTCGAACAAATAAGCTTTAACAAGGCTTTAATAAGCTAAACAATAGAGGTAAATGAGAAAACGTGTTCATAACCAACGAAAATAAATAAATAATTAAATTGTGTCCATGCCAGTCTCAAACCCTGGTCTCCCACTCTCTGGTCCAACACTCTACCCATTGCCCTATTGGAGGCTTGTTGTGAAATGAGCTGCACATTACACAACAACAACCGTGACGGCTTTTTATACTGAGGAGGTGGAGCTTCACCCGGGGGTTGCCAGGTAAGGGGCTGATCGCAGGTTCTGGTGGGTTGTCGTACGGCTTGTGACATCACAAAATGACACAAGTATAAAACTTGTCGTTAATATACATTAAAAATACATTTACTTACAGTAAATATGCCCCTGGGTGCATTTTTTTGGTCCTAGGACTGTTTTTTTAAGAAGTACATACCCAAAGTTGAGTAAAAAAACCTTTAAAAAGTGAATTTTGCATAATAGGTCCCCTTTAAGAAGGTAAAACGAACTTACTCCATGTATGTGTGCCAACATTTTCTCTAATTCTGCCTTCTCCTTTTTCAGCGCAGCACACATTTCTTTAAGATCTGCAACTTGATTCTGTGAAAATACAAAAGAAAGAGGATATTAAAAATTCAAAAGTTGTTTTTTAGTCAAAATATTAAAATAAATGTAAGAAGGAGTCAGTTTTTATCAACCTTTTACAAAGTTTGTCAAAAATTTTAATGGAAACCACAGCCTTCAGCTAGTGCACAGAGTCTACCATAACAGACACATGATGCAAGCTGTGCAATGATACCCCTGAAACAATCTACTAATGGCAGAATGTAAGATTTAGGCAGGAGAAGCAGACAAAGAACTCTATAATGTCTGAAATAATGTACAGGAACATAATGTGCAGGGTAGAGATTAGTGTTCCCAAGAGGGAGACTCCACCAAGGATTGTGGGGAATGACAGGTGATGGTCTACTAACTGGATACTGTGGAGGTAAACAACCAGTAGAAGAAGGCAGTGGAGTGCTAGATGTAGCAATCCCAAGTGACTGTAACATCAGGAAGAAGAGTTACAACATGCTGGAGAAATATCAAAGGCTGAAAGTGGAAACAGAAGTTATAGAGAGTGGTCAACAGAACACTTTGTGCTGTGATCTCCAAACCACAGGAACAACCTCAGAGATTTCTGTCCAGATGAGCGCAGTCCTAAAAACAGCTGAGAAACTAGCTACGTTTACATGGACATAAGTAATCAGATTAAACGGCCATTTGGAATAAAAGTGCGTCGTGTAAACACCCCATTCGGATTATTCTGACCCGATTCAGCTCGATCCGAATGAATTTGTAATCAGAGAGGTGGTTTATGCCGATTGATAATCCGAACAGCGTGCATGTAAGCACTTAATCCGATCATCTTAATCTGATTGTGGAAAACTGACCTGACTGTGCATGTCTGCTGACTTTCATCCAGCGGTTTCTGCTCTTTTGAGGAGGGAGGAGCAGCAGCGCTGTTTCCAGCAGACAGAACTTTTCCTCCCGTTCTCTCATTCAATAAAGAAAGAAGACACACAGCCTGCACCGCTTTGCAAAAAAAAAAAAAAAAATCTGCGCGTCCCCTGCAGCTGAACCAGGGAGTGCAGTAACGTCTCCACCATTATTAAAACCTGTCGCAGGTCCACTCTGAGCCCAGAAGGTGTTTATGTTCATGACGAAAGTAAAAATAATTTTTTTTAGCTAAAGTTAGCAACTGTGCATGTCAGAGCTTCTATTCTGAATAAAAGCCTGGTGCATGTAAACACTCGTCATGATCGGATTGTGCCCATGCAAATGATACATTTAGATTATTTAATCCGAATACATTTCAATCCCATCAAAGAATTTTGGGCATGTAAACATAGCTAGTGTGCAGATCCCTCAAACTCCCAGGCCTTTGGTAGAGGACCTGAGTTTGAAGTGAAGTGGAACTGCCCTTGTCAAAAATTAGGGAGAGCTGGGTGTTTTGTGTTTTCTTTTTTGATGAGATGAGATCATCCTTTATTAGTCCCACAAGTGGGAAATTTAGGATGTTATGGCAGGAAGTGGACAGTACAAAATCAAAGCAGCAGGTACGAAAAACAATACAACGTAAAAATAGATCTTCTGTAGAGGTCTGTATTACAATGAAATTGAAGAAGCCTCCGAGTGAAGACGCTCTCTTTTTCTATGACAGTCTGATGAAGAGGATGGTCAGGGTTGTCTGCAATGTTCTTACAACATAATATGACTTAATAGTGTAAATAAAATAAATAAATAACAAAAAGAGGTAGGGGTCTTCCTCTACTGTGACTTAGAGTGTTTATAACTAGATTTAAGCTATTTTGAAATGGAGAAAAAAAGGTTTCTGTGAATACGTTATGAACCACTGTTGTAAACAGCTGTTTGAATTAACTCTGGGGAACATGTGACAGGACTGATGAGCTAATGGCTGGTCTGAATGCAGTCAAAATCAAATTGGATCACTGCCATCTTCAATTAACTTTAATCTAAAAAATATCCCAGGAGTTCATACTAACACTAAAAAAACAAAAGAAAAAAACTTTACTGTCACTTTATAAACAAACAGTTGTTCATAGTTTTATGAGGTCATTTGCATTTATACAGCAGACGCCAGCAGCGACGTGTACCACTTCTTGAGCAGCCTGGTGTCAAATCTGACAGCAGTTTAATCTTATTTCTGCCAAAATATTTGCAAAGCAAAACTGATGAAGTTGTAATGGTTTAAAAAAAAAAACAACAGAAAATTTAGAATTGTTTTATTACGGCAAAGTCTGCTTTAGACGAGTGTTTGTTTGCACAAGTCGTTATTAGTTTGTCAGTAATGTAGGATCCAAATGGACCCAGTCTTATTTAACTGCTACTGTGTTTGCACTAACAAATAACCACAGAGATCTATGTCTATAACTGTGGAATGCTGAACTGATAATGATGAAAACTATACAATAGTAGCTGTGTGAATATATTTGGAGATTGAAATTAATTGAAGATGACAGTGATCTTTGGTCTTAGTGCTTTTCTCCAGCAACTAGCATCTCAGTCTTGTTGGACTTGAACTCTGTTTCTCTTAACTGAGTTCATATAAAGCTATCTGCTTGAATAGTACTTCCTTTAAAACTTTCCATGGAAAAAATGTAAGAAAGAATCCCTTTAACAAACAAATATTCAACATCTCGTTGAATTAATACTAATACTGATGCATAAGAAGGGGTTTTCTACCTACTGAGCAAAGGAGACCATTACTCATCTCCAGACAATATCACATTAATTTTTTTATCTAATTCTTGTCAGCTGTTGAAAAGATGGATGTTAATTTCCTTCATAAACTGACTCTGAATGGTGCTGGTGTTGCACTGACTGACTCCCTCTGCTTGGCTAGTGTTGTGTTTGGGTCGTACCTTGAGTCGTGGTAAGTCTTTGTTGGCCTGCTCCAACTGGAAACACAGCTCCAGTTTCTCTGAGGCCAGCCTCAGGTTCTCTTTCGACAGGTCCTGATCTCTCTGTGAGGGCGTGTCGGTGCCCAGACCTGAGGTCTGAAGGACGGCAAAATCACACAGAAAAAACTGTGAACATTTAACCCTTACTTCAAGAGAAAATAACCACTTATACTCTACACATTAGCCAATCACAGCCTTGGATCTGAGGCAGACAGAGCAGGGAGTTAAACACCAAGTGCAAACACTGAAACTGTTTCACTGACTACAGCGGACTCTGACAAATCTATTTCTATCACAGCACTAGGTTTCAGCAGGGTGACTACCTGCAGTACCTTCAGATGTTTAAGGGATCTGCTTTTGCATTTTTCTGCCTTATCGTCCTTCCTTGAAGTGATAAAACTCTCAGGCTGATGGCTCGGTGTGATCCTGGAATCAGCTTCTGGCTCTGCTGAGCAGGAATGTTCCTGATTCTCCTCCTCTGTCACTTCCCTTCTCGTCTCCTCCTCTCCTCCTTTCAGCTCCTGCTGTTCCTCAGCCTTGTGCAGCGAATCTGAAGAGGCCCTGACATCTTTCTGCTCTGGAGCTTCAACATCTGAGTCACAAACATTAGTCACTGTTTGACTCGTGTCATTGCCTGTCGCTGCCTGTGGTGCAGATCCCGTCCTCTCTGATAGATCATTCGGTTCTGGCTTTCTGGTTTGTGGTTCTGGTTGGTTTTCCAGCGCAATGATTTCAGGCACAGCTGTCACTTCTTCCACTTGGATCTCTTCTTGTTTAACTTGGTCAGAACCAGTCTCTGCTGCTGTGAATGTGTCTGTTCTGCCAGCTGCAGTGTTCCCATCAGCGCTCGCTTGATTTGTCCAAAGCTCCTCTGCTCCAACAAAGCTGGTGTGAGTTTCTTCAGCTGCCTGGCTGTGCTTTGGTTCCCTCTGCTGATCAAAGGTGTCCTCAGCAGCTTCGGGGCTGAGGAGGAAGCTGCAGGACTCAGTAGGTTGGGCTGCAGCGTTCACGTCGCCCGACCCCTCCTCAATATCAAAAGTGACAGAGCAAAGTCCCCTAAAAGCAAAGGAGGAGATCCTTCTCCCCTTCAGACACGATAAATCAGATTAAATCCAGTGACGAGAGAGGAAAATGAAAGAGAGCACAAACTGATGAATACACTGGTAAACATCTCAGGACCTTCCAACACGTCCTTCCAAGACATATTTGTTAGAAAATGTGAAATCCTAATATGCTGGCAAAGTTTAGGGCCGCAGCCCTACATGTTTTACGTTTCCCTACACCAACACACCTGATTCAGTCACTGAACCACCTCTTCCAAGTCCTGCAGTATGGAGGGACCGACACTGACATAATTATTAATAAAAGCAGAAACAGATAAATGAACCTTATAAATAAATAAATACATTTAAAACGCACTAAATAAATTAAAAAGGAGAACTTTACCTCGTGTTTTATAATTTAATTGACCTTCATATTTATTTTTCCAGCTTAGTTCCAATAAAT